CCCCCAAAACCCCAAAACCCCAAAACCCCAGAACTTATAAATATTGTTGAATAAATATTGTAGAATAAATATGAGACCCATCACTATTCCTCACATACATTCACGTAGCCATCGTAAGTGGTCCTGGGTTTAGCAATTCAGCTTATTCTCTATTCGGAACACTTCTTCTTGAGTCCTGAAAGCATCCATATTAACTTATAGGTATTCTTAAGCATTCGAGGCCAAGAAGAAGCACAAAAATGAAGCCAAATGTATTGAATATGAAGAATATCAGACCTTTCATGGAGGCAGAACAGCATCAAAACAAAGAACCTCAAAATGAGCAGAGAAGAAATTTGAAAATAACCACTAATTTCTTGGATACAGGTATCTCTCGTTGTTAATAGCAGATCATGTCATGAGTCAAATTCAAGGTTCATTGACCAACCCAAGAACCAGGTTCCCAAATACTGCACGAGGACTAGAGAAGCAAATATTAAACAATGTAAATCAAAAGATTGGGTTCTCAAATAAAAGATTAAAATCATCCTTCAGACCCAAAAGAGGTAATTCTATTATAAACATTTCTTATAGCATTGCCATCAGATGTTCCGATAATAAAAATAGGTTCGTTAAGGCTGGTAAAATTCATAGAAAATTCTTCAAAAGAAATGATTGTAGATGATTCTCAAAAGAAGAGTTCAGAATATTCTTATTCTCCAAATGCAAAAGCTTCTCATGCAGACATGCCTCTGAATAAGTCTTATTCAAGTCCACTTACATTAGCTGAGTTACCTTTAAAATAAGATTAAAGAAACAACTGATACAAAGTAAGGGTATAGTTCAAAAGATAGTCTAAAAGAACCTGTGATGCAGGCGCATGAAAGGGACTTGTTCACACCACAGGCAAGATCTGGACATAATAACTTTATCCCTGATCAGAAGAAGCGGGGAGCAGCAGGTACTCTATGGCTTCTCCTTTTTCGATCTGTTTGGTAAATCTATGCTATATCTTCATATGAAATTTTCAAATTGTTGTGCACTTTCCAAGACCTAAAATTATCTAAGCACTGGCACTTCTAAATTCCAATGTTAATCATGTCGCATAGTGTTCAAGATAAAAAGAGGGGAGACAGTTGCTTTCAAAAGAAATAGCTCAATTTCTGATTTTAGCAATGCACTCTAAGCTTCAGTAAGTCTACCATAACCCTCTGTAGTTAAGAGCAAGGCTCAAGAGAGCTATGATAGTATAAATCTCCAGAAAGAGCTCATTGAGATCTTTGGAGACACGACAAGTGTGTTCTCCGGAAAACCTGATTCCAAATCAATAGGAGTCGTATTTAGAGCACTTGATAGACTCTCCAAAGTAGAAGGGAATTTGAAGTATTACTTCAGAATGATGTACAATATTATGTTAAAAGCTATTTATTGTAAAGTCATCGAACTCCCTGAGATCCTGCTGGAGCAGTTGAAGGAAAAGAATCTGGATTACTATTCTGATCCAAATAAGTATAACCTCTTTGTGTAAATTCCTATAGCTTCATTCCTTATTTTGAATCTAATGAAGAATTAATGAAGACATTAAATTCTGTTATTAAAACAGCCCAAAAAATTGAGAAAGAAAGCAAAAGTAAGGTTATTGAGATGGAAGCAGAGCTCAGAGGCTGCAAGGAATTTACTAAGCAACTCGAGAAAGAAGTCATCGCAATTAGGTCTACTGTTAAGACCAGGACTTTAGAGAGATTTATAGATCTTACCCAAGAAAATGCTAAACTTGTCAAAGAACTTAATATACTTAAGTATAAAATGAACGCTAATGATGATCAAGTAGAAAAGAATTTAATGAAACTCGAGATAGAAAAGCTTAAACAGGAGTTAAAAACTACACGATTATCACAACAAAATCAAGCTGTAAGTGATTATTTAACTTGTTTAGTCATCTGCAGTAAATTCAAGCAAATCGATTATATCAATCAAAGATCACGAGGCCGTTCCATAGTACCCTTTAATGGTAGAATTCAATTAAGTTTATTTCCCAAGGGGTTTTGGGGTTTTGGGGTTTTGGGG